CAGTCAACTTTCAAAATAGATTGTTATAGCCACACTGATGGCTTTGTTCTCTGAATTCCTTGAGCTGAGGGATAGTACTGGGCCAAGGCACTAGTCTCTCACCATCATGGCTTACTCCTGTACAGTGGCTTTGCACTAACAGAAGAGAGAACAATAAGCCTATTGTTGAGCCCGTGGCACTGAGCCATTGCCAGAATCTCTGCTGGATTGAAGCACACACTCCACCGAAGGCACTTGTGATGATCACTGTGGTCGAAAGGGAGATACATCATCTCACTGCATATTTCCTAGGGTTTGAAGAGAAAAAAATGTAGGAATGCTTTTTAATAATTATACCTCAGTTTTAAAAACTGCTTATATATTTTATTTAAAAGTCTGTTTAAAATGATTGACTTTTTAAGTAATGTGTGACATTTCTAAAGTAAAACAGATGCTCAGTCTAACGTGTATTTTATTTTTAAGATAGATAACTAAAAATCTTAGTTCTGAGATATAGTTTTACTTATCATATATGAGGAGTTTCTCAGGGAATATAGGAAATACATATTTCAGCTTGGTGAAGGAGATGGGATTTGCCTCCCTTAAACACTGATTTAAATTATGCTCATAATCTCTGGGTGTCTTATTAATAAAGTTGAAGATAAAGAAGATACTCTGTATGACAAGAGATTTTGGGGATTGTATGGATTATAATGTTTCTTTTTCTTCATTAGCTGCTTCTAGGAGACTTAAATAAACATTTCAGACTTACAGAGATTTACTTTCTTTACTGTTTCTTTAAAACAGCATTTCCTAGATAAATGAGATTTCCTAAATAAATGAGTATTCTAAATAGATTAGTATGCCATGGTTCAAAGGGATAGATGAACAACAATCTGCAGTGTTTTCTTTTTTAGGTATTTAAATGCTCTGAAGGGGCGCCTTGGTGGCTCAGTCGGTTAAGTGTCTGACTTCAGCTCAGGTCGTGAATCTCACGGTCTGTGAGTTTGAGCCCCGCATCAGGCTCTGTGCTGACAGATCAGAGCCTGGAGCCTGCTTCAGATTCTCTCTCTCTCTCTCTGTCTCTGTCTCTGTCTCTGTCTCTCTCTCTCTCTCTCTCTCTCTCTCTCTCTGTCTCTCTCTTTCTCTGCCTGTCCCCAACTCATACCCTCTCTCTCAAATTTTTTTAAAGGCTCTGAGAAGTTCTGTGGCTAACACAATTATGTAACTTTAAGTTTTCCAGATATCTTTAGTAACAGAAACTCTTTCTTGTTCTGTGTTTTGAAAAGTACCTTTCTGTGAAACATACTTTGAGAAATAGTCTTACTTGTCATAGAATGTACATACAAAACACACACGAGAGAAAAAAACAAATAGAGCCGCTACTAAAATGTTAAGTCTGTTTCCATCTACTTTTTTCCATGCACTGACCATTCTAGATATGTTCTTTTATATCTTCCTTTTATCACTTTAACATCATGAAATTAGCATGTTATCATGCAATTCAGGATTCTTTCAAAGAATGATTTTAATCATTGCATGTTTCATCATATGGTTATATTGCAGTTAACCATTTCCTCGTTGTTTATTTAATCAGTTGTTTCCAATTTTTCATTATTATAAGTTATCCTGTAGGGAATTAATATCTTTATACATAAAATCTTTTACATACTTCAAATTATTTCCTTATGATAGATTCCCAGAAATTGACTATTATTGTTTCAAAGGGCATGAGTGGTCTTCAAGGCTTTTTATAAATAAACACCAAATTATTTTTCAAGAGAGCTTTAATAGTGTATAGTTCTCCCAGCAACATGTATTCTCACAAACATTATGTATTAACATTTAAAAAAAAAATCTCAGCACGTCTGAGAGCAAAAGATGGTATATGTTTATTTTTTTATTTTGTAATAATTTGTAAAGTTTGATTTTTTAAAGTAGTACTAATGCTGTTCATTAATTTTGCAGATTTCATTTGTCATGTATTCTAATTTCTCACACCACAATAGTTTTAGTGTCACGAATATGTAATTACACTTAAAAACATTAAATAAATATACATTTATATATAAATTAAAAATATATAAAATTATATAAAATTTGTCATGTGATTGAGTAACTTTAAGGAAATATACAGTTTCAATGATTTTATGACTCATTTGAGGTTATTTATATATATAAAAACCCATGAAGCTAATTTCTTTTGGCTCTAGTATCAACTATTTGACATTTCATTATGAGCAAGTCTGTTTTTTATTTACAAAATTATATTTGTGCTTTTAATGTGTAATGGACTCAATTTCAGAATTTTGAGGGTGTGTTGTTCATTTTTTTTCTGACTGCTTGTCTTAGTTTGGGTCATTGCACTTGTGAGACTTTATCAGAAAGCAAGCAGGGCAAACATTCAAGTTTCAGATTTTAAGCTCTATTGTGAATACAAGATTTCAAGCAGTATTTATTTATTTATTTATTATTTTTTTTTTTTAATTAAAAAAAATTTTTTTTTAACGTTTATTTATTTTTGAGACAGAGAGAGACAGAGCATGAACGGGGGAGGGTCAGAGAGAGAGGGAGACACAGAATCTGAAATAGGCTCCAGGCTCTGAGCAGTCACGGGGCTCGAACTCACTTACCGTGAGATCGTGACCTGAGCCGAAGTCGGACGCTTAACTGACTGAGCCACCCAGGTGCCCCTCAAGCAGTATTTTTTTAGAACCTTCAGTCCACTAAGTATTTTAGGACTCATTATTATTCTGTGCTTTCTCCACAAAAAAGAGGTTGGACTCCAAAATTAATGAAAACTAGCCATTCTGAGATTCTTGTTGTTATTGCTAACATTGGTTAAGAAGTAACACCTAGAAAAGACTGAGAGGTTTGTTTTCATAGACATAGGATATATGCATTTTATTCTGTTTGGAAACTTGGTGACTGTTAAACATCATGTTCTTTTCTATAAATTGTTATTAGATTGCTAATAGTTTCATGCACCTTTAAGTGTCCAGATGAAAAAGCTTCCAATTGGGGCGCCTGGGTGGCGCAGTCGGTTAAGCGTCCGACTTCAGCCAGGTCACGATCTCGCGGTCCGTGAGTTCGAGCCCCGCGTCAGGCTCTGGGCTGATGGCTCAGAGCCTGGAGCCTGTTTCCGATTCTGTGTCTCCCTCTCTCTCTGCCCCTCCCCCGTTCATGCTCTGTCTCTCTCTGTCCCAAAAATAAATAAAAACATTGAAAAAAAA